AAATAAAACCCAAATATAAACCGTAAGTGAACTGAGGCCAAAACCATAATAGTAGAAAATGGAGACAATGAAATTTCTAAAGTTAACTGTATTCTTATTAAACCTCAAAATATCATGATTGGTCATGCTTGAACTAACAGGATTCCCTGATGTTAGCATAACCTATTCTACAATACTTTCTATGAATAAAATAAATTCAATTTCTAGAATAGGTAGAAAAACCCTACACTAGCTGTAGCTAAAGCCAGCCTAAAAGAATGCAGCCTAGTCCAAAGTACGCATCTAGTCCAAAGTACGCACCTAGTCCAAAGTACACGCCAAGGTTTGTGCTGGGCCATTTCTGGTAACTCTAGATAATCATCTATACCATCTAAAGCTGAAAACAGCTCTCCATAAGTATATACTAATTCTACAAATATACTTTTAAATCTTATAAAGAAGCTTGTACCATATAAAAGGCTCCCAAATGTGACCTGAATTTGAATTATATCTAATACCTAAGCCGAAACCACAGTTTATGGGAAACAGGAACAATGAGTTTCTAGAATGAGCCATGCCTGCCATAGTCACAGAATCTTCAGCTTAGATCAGCAGAGTTCCTTTAGGTTACTTGCGCTACATGGTAAAAGGAGGAGGAAAATGGGGTCAACAGCTCCCGAACACATCCTAGTGGTCTCGGGGTCCATGGCCCTCCCTGATCCCTAACGCTCAGTGGGCCTCTGTGTCTGGCTCCCAACAGAATTATACACTCTATATTTTTTATCTGGCTTTTTAAACTTAGCATAATTATTTTATGATTCATTGATAGTGTTGTATATATAAATAGTTTATTTCTTTTTTTTAACTGAATAGTATTCCATTGTATAGAAATACCATAAATTACTCACCTGTTGATAGACATTTGAGTTACTTTCAGTCTTTGGCTGTTACAGTAAAGCGGCAAGGAACAGTTCTGTGCACAATCCTTTGTGTGGGTATAGACTTTCACCTCCCTCAGATAGATACATGTGCATTGGTGGGTCACACGGAAGGGTGTGTAACCATTTAGAGACTGCCAAACTCCTTTCCATAGTGGTTGTACTCTTTCCCAAAATTATTATATGTGTTCTAGTTCTTCTACACTTGTCATCTATACATTATCTTTAGTGAAATGTCCTCTCAGATCTTTTGTGCATTATTTTTGTTTGTGGTTATTTTTCTTATTGAGTTTTGGTAATTTTTAATATATTCTAGATGCATGTCATTTATCAGACAGGTTATTTGTAAATATTTTCTCCCAGTGTTTGTCTTTTCATTTTATCAATAATTTCTTTCTAAGAGCAACAGTTTTTAATTCTGAAGCCCAATTGATCAAGTTTTCCTTTTATTATCAAGCTGTTAGCATTGTGTTGAAGAAATATTTGGCTAACCTAAGGTCACAAAGACTTTCTCCTCTAAATTTTTTCTAGAAGTTTTATAGTTTTCGGTTCTACATTTAGGTCTATAACCATTTTGAGTCAGTGGTGCAATGTAAGGACCAAATCTGATTTTTTTTTTTTTTTTTTTTTTGCATGTGGATAGCCAGTTGTTCCAGCACCATTTGTTGAATAGATGACCCTTTCTCTAAGGTCTAGCTTTGAACCCTTGTTGAAAGAACACGACTGTGGATGCATGGGTCTGCTTATCCTCTGTTCTGTTCTACTGATCTGTTTGTAAGCCTTGATGCCAGTGCCACGTTGTAGCTTTCTAATAAGTATTGGAATTTCCCACCTTCAATCTCTGTTTTCAGAGTTGTTTTGGCTATGCTAGGCACTTGAGTTTCCATGTGAATTTTAGAATCAGATTTTCATGTCTTATAGAAAAGCCTACTGGGATTTGATTGGGTTAACACATGAGTAGCTCAGTTCTGAATGTGGTGTTGAAATCTCTTAGCTGTGGATGTGCCAGTCTACTTTACTTGCGGTTTTCCCATTGTTTGCTTCATGTGCTCCAAAACTGTCTAACGAGGTGCATGTGGTGTCCTCCTGATGACCTAACCCATTTGTCATTGAAAATGACCTTCTTTATTCCTGGTAATAGTCTTTGAAATCTGCCTTGTCTGATAGTATTAGTAAATCCATTCTAACTTTCTTTTGACTGGTATTAAATGGTATATCTTTTCTATCATTTTACTTTTACTCTATTGGTGGCTTTATATTTAAAGTAGGATTCTTGTAAGCAGCATATGGTTTTAATTTAGTCTGACATTCTTTGTCTTTTACTGTTTATTTATTTATTTATTTATTTATTTATTTGAGTTGAAGTCTCACTTCATCGCCCAGACTGGAGTGAAGTGGCATAATCACGGCCACCCCAGCATCGACCTGCTGGGCTCTGGTGATCTTTCCGCCTCAGCCTTCCAAGTAGGCGGAATTATAGGCGTGCGCTACCACACCTGGCTAATTTTTTTTTTTAATTGTAGAGACAAGGTCTCACCATGTTGCCCAGGCTGATCTCGAACCCACGGACTCAGACAATTCTCGCGCCTCAGCCTCCCATACTGCTGGGATTACAGGCTTGAGCCACCGTGCCCAGTCAATCTTTGCCTTTTAATCATTGATGTTTAGACCATTCATATTTTATGTTTATGTGTTAAGGCACCATCTTGCTATTTATTTTCTATTTGTTCCTTATTTCTCTTTTCTCTCTGTCTTTAAAATTGATTTTTAAAAATTTGTTTCATGAAATAGGTTTTAAATGATAAAATTCTTCTCTTTGAATAGCTTTCATCGAGTTTCATTGATTTTGAACTGGTTTTGCTAATATAGAGAAATGCAGGTGATTCTTTTGCAGGATTATCCAATTGACATTAGCAAAAATGGAAATTTATCTGAATTTCAACCATACATATTAATGGTTAGGTAATAGAAATATGAATGCTGTGTTTAAGAACAGCCAATATTACCTTTAGTCCATTTGAATCCGCATACTTTTTTGGAATATCATTCTCAAATAGTATAACTGAACATCTAAGTACTGAAATAAATTAAATTGAATCAGATCTTAAATTATTGTCTCAGAAAGTAGCAAAGAAAAATTAGTGATCAATGACATATATTTATAGTGCTTTTATTTTAAAATACATAATTTTTAATAAGAACAAAAAGACATGTTCAGGAAGTAAAATAAAATATTTTGAACTATGTATGTTTTACTTTTTTCTGTTTTTAATTTCTATTTTAGTTTATATTTTATAAACAATGCATGAACACAGTGCATGTGCGTTTAATTACTGAAAGAGCATACACTCATTGGAGTTGCATCTCCAAAATTGTTGTACTGATAAAGGGCTTCACAATCAAACATCTTAGAAATTCTCTGGATTAGAGGACCTTCAGATCACCAAGGACTAAGCCAAATATTTTCAAAAGATGATATAATGTGTCTTAACTCTTGAATCATTTAGTCTCATTCATATTATTATGCAGACTATAATGGATAGTCTTAGCTGTGGAAGGTGATCTGTCCTATACTAGATGTTATTTTAAAAATGCAAAATGTGGCCCCATGTGGTGGCTCATGCCTATAATACCAGCACTTTGGGAGGCAGAGGCAGGAGGATTGCTTGAGCTCAGGAATTCAAGACCATCTTAGGCAATATAGTAAGACCTCATCTCTACAAAAGGATAAAAAATTAGCCAGGCATGGTGGCACATACCTGTAATCTCAGCTATTCAGGAGGCTGAGGCTGAGGATCACCTGGACCCTGGAGGTTGAGGGTGGCTGCAGCGAGTCACCATTACACCACTGCACTCCAGCTTGTATGATACAGGAGACCTCTACTAAAAAAAAAAAAAGCAAAGTGTTAAGAAAGCTACTCAATTTCATCATCATAACACATGCTTACACTACGAATTTGCTGTAGAGGCTTCCTGGTTAACCTCACCTACTTTATAATTCACAAACCTCCATATTGGCCCATTCTACTTGCTCCACTAAATGTTTTAATTTCAACTCACATATTAGTTTACAGTTATTTGCAAAAATATATTTGCACACAGATAGAAACATACAAAATCTCAACTTAATAGGATCGTGGAATGTACCTATCCATTTTCCATTAGAGTAATTTTCAACTTGTATGCCTACTCTATGGGCAGAATCTATGACTGATGAACACAGATGGGTGTTGCACATTGGAATCCATTGCTTTAACACTAATAAAATCCCAAATTCCATTCTTTTAAAAGTACAAAAAATACACAAGAAAGTCGAGACAAAGGGGAAGAAATGATAATGAAATCTTCCCAAGGAACTTGAGTTTGATATGCAGGTAAAGTGTAATCGTTAAACTTTTTAAACAGATTTAGAAGCACCTTAGGTCTTACATTCCTTGAAATTATTAATACTCATTCAGTTTCTGATGATAAAATGAACATATTTTATATTTAGCATTTTTGTTATTAAAAATGTGGAAACAGAACTTTGTAAATAAGGCAAATACTAAATACCAAGTAACATCACTAATGTCTGGTCAAAAGACATTTGTTACAGAATTTAGTAACAAGACATTTGTTTAGTAATTTAGTAAAAGACATTTACAGAATTTAGCAGAGATGAAATTTTATTTTATCTTACTTTATTTTTATAGATTCAGGAGGTACAGGCACTGGTTTGTTACCTGGATATATTATACAATGGTAAGGTTTGGGCTTCTAGTGTACCTGTCACCTGAATAGTGAACATTATTCCCAATAGGCAATCTTTCCACTCTCACTCCCCTACTTCCCTTCCACCTGGAACTTTTAAAGCAGAGCCATAATTTAAAATATAAACATATTCCATGTATATTTATATATCTATGTTTTGTGTCTTGAAGGTCATGTGTGCATATTTTCAGTGTACATATAAATAAGGATAGTAATAAATCTGCCTTCATCTCAATTATAGTTCTGATTCTTTCATACCAAATGAACTTTAATGACAAAACTATTTAATCATTCTTTTAATTTTTACTTTTATTTTTTGGATTTTCTTTCTAGATGTATCATAGAATCCGCCACTCAGAGTGTATTTACCGGGTAACTATGGAAAAGCTGTCCTACCACAGTATTTGTACTGCAGAAGAGTGGCAAGGCCTCATGCGTTTCACCCTTCCTGTACGTCTCTGCAAAGAAATTGAATTGTGAGTATGTTGCCTTGTCAGTTTCTTCAAGAAGCAGTCTTTAATTAAATTAGACTTAAAGAAGAACAACTTATAGAATTACAATCAAAATTATTGCACCCATATATTATATGCATAGTTTTATGTGTTGCCATTTTTCCCTTCCAAAGCAATTGCAAATCTTATGATAGAATTTGGAAATAAAGGCCAGCTCTCATTACCTTAAAAAATAAATCTGAACTCAGCTTTGAAATGAGTTGACCTAAATGTTTCCATTTCTCATTAGTCTGTTGCATACTTTATACTATGTAATAGTTAATATTCAAAATGGCATTAAGGTACCTTAAAGTTCTCATTTCCATATACATTTAAATTTCCCAACTAAGTTCAAGAATTTAGTAATTTTTAGTTTACTAAATTCAATAATTTAGTAATAATTTGTTCAACTTTCATAGTTTATTCCTCATTCCTATATTAACCCTTTGCAATTGGATATCCCCTGTGAGAGGACATCATAAATCTAGCAAGCCACTGAGATGCCCCTGGTAATTATACAGGACAGACTTATACAAGCACAATTTTTTCTTCCATGTTTATTGGTAGAGACATTTTTTGGGTCCAGATTTCCTGCAAGCACAAATTTTCAAAAATGTATGTTTCCTTGAAGTTTTCCAATCAAATTGTATGAAAAAGCAAATAAAGAGATGGAGTATATACTGAGATATACATAAAAAAATCAACTGCCATTACACAGAGAATGTGTGAAGTGCTTTCTTTCTTTCTTTTTTTTTTTTTTTGAGTTGGAGTCTCACTCTGTCACCCAGACTGGAGTGCAGTGGCAGCTCCTGGCCACCGCAGCCTCGACCTGCTGGGCTCTGGTAATCTTTCCGCCTCAGCCTTCCAAGTAGCCGGAACTACAGGTGTGCACTACCACACCGGCTAATATTTTGATTGTAGAGATGAGGTCTCGCCAAGTTGCCCAGGTGGGTCTCGAACCCGCGGGCTCAGGCAATTCACTCACCTCAGCCTCCCAAAGCGCGGGATTACAGACTGAGCCACCAAGCAGACTGAGCCACCAAGCAGACTGAGCCACCAAGCCCGGCTATGTGAAGTGCTTTCACAGTGGTTACTGTAGCCTTAAAAGAAAGAGACTTTCAAAGTTAAAGGCAGATTGTATTGAAGAACCAAGTAACACAGGTTGAATATAACTATCTGCGCTAAGTCAGAAAAGTAAAATTGGAGAAGTAATCTTCTTTTGAAAATTTCATTTTGTAATTTACAAATTAAACATATTAAACCATTTATTTAGTTTGCAGAACAATGACAAAATGAAAAAGCAAAAGTGAGAGTTATAAGCAATCATGAAGATGAGTTAGATTTAGACTTGTATACAGATAAGTTAGAAGAAACATTGATGTGGATGAAAACAATAGTAGTGATAGTGATATCATCCCACCAAGAAGAAAATGGGCTTATGTAATAGAAAGTGATAGCGATGAAAGTGTTAGTATTTTCAAAGACAACGTATCATCAAGTGAAGAATGGGAATATGTTACAGAAAAAGACGATCCTCCAGTGAGAATAAGTTTTGTTGTACATACTCAAACAACAGTTCCACAAATAGCAAGTAATATAAGAGAACTAGCTGACTATTTTACTCTGTATTTTATACATGAATTAGTGGATAGTGCAATAAAAGAAACAAATTGTTATGCAGATGAAAAAAATAAGGAAAAAGTAGCTATCACACAAATCAGTTTGGCATAAGTGGTATGATGCTGCCCTATAGGAATTTATAGCTTTTTTCATTATCCTAAATACGGAACTAATTCAAGTACCAAATTTGCAAGAGTACTAGTCAATTGCTTTCAGTAGTAAAATACTCTTCAGAAACATTTTGTTGAGAAAGGTTTATGCAAATCTTCTGAATGTTTCTTTGAAGACACCTGCATTGAGTGATGGGACAACCACAACTTGTATTTAAAAGGCCAATAATTATTTGAAGTATATTGATCCAAAATTTTCACAGTATGTCACACCAGATCAGGCAATTTATCTTGATGAATCTGTTGTTCAGTTTAAAGGGCGAATATCACTTATAACATAAAATCCAAATAAGCTTACCAAATGGGTTATACACATTTATGCACTTGCTGATTCAGAGATATCTTTTTTCAGTTCTTTCCTACTATGGCAGCATAACATCTGAAAACATCGTTTGATCTGATCATCCAGTAAGCACCAGAATTCCATTATATTTATTTAAAAAATTGTTGGGAAAACTTCCCAATGCAGCAGGACACCACATTTACTAACAGATGTTGCTCTTGGATTGTACTAGCAGAGGAGCTACTAAAAGTGTAACACCGTCTTACTGGTACAATCCAAGTCAACCAAAAGGAAATGCCAACACAAATAAAAAGGCCAAAGTTTTTCACGGAAAAAAAAACCAAAACAGTAGTATATAGGAAAAACAATCTTATGCTTCTTACATGGAAGGACAAAAGGATCGTTACAATTCTCAGCACTTGGAATCATGCAGGAATGAATCTACTACAAGGACATTATGTGGTAGAAATATTATATCAGACAAAAAGCCTGAAATGATTCTAAATTAATATTGCAAATATGAGTAGTGTGGATTGTGCGGATCAATATGCATCTACATATTGTTTTTTTGTGAAAATCTTTACAATGGTGAAGGAAATTATTCTTTAGGGGACTAGAAATATGCGTTATTAACTCCTATATATTGTACTGAGCATCAAAACAAAAGAAAAAGAAAGAATAGAAAAACCTGTGTCCCATTTGAAATTTGTGAAGCCTCTGATCAATCATCTGAGAAGTGGTTTTCAGGAATCACGAATGCACTCTTCCATGTTATCTTTGAACAACAGACTGCACAGTGAATTACATGTTATTAATGTGGAAGGAAGAAAACGAGACTGCATTGTCTGCTCGAATAGAAAACACCCGGTGGAGAAGATATCAAATTACAATTGACAACACGTATCAATGAATCTGCAATGCATGTCGTGACTGTTTCACTTATTACCACACATTAGAAAAATATAAGATATAAAATTTTGATTTTTTTGTCATAATGAGTTTCTCAATGTCTAAAATTCCATTATAAGCCAAATATAATTATAGTAAAATAATTGATTCCAATACTATACTATTTAATATGAAGTGATTCATTTTTTACTGTTTCATAAACAGTGAGGCTGAATTGCTGGTAGGTGATCCATTAGATGTCTCCAAGTGCAAAGGGTTAATATCAGATACTACTGGAAGGATCTGTGTTAATTAGTATGTCCATTGTAAGTACAAACCAACCTATTTAACTACATAGGAGGTCTTCAGAAGTGACCCAGAGCTAATATTTGCCTTGCCGTTGAAAACATAGTCTATACTATAACATTCTGTTTATTCCAGTTGGATGTTAGTAACTAAAATAGCAAATTAAAAATAAGTAATAGCTTTGGATGTTTATGTCAATGAAATTTTTGTCTCAGTTTATGTAGAAGATAGAACAAATCTACTCTAAAAAGTGCTTTTCATAAGGTTCCCGCTTATCTATGAGTTGTATAATATGTGTATAGTATTCATAATATACCCTTTTATATTTTTTATTGCTTTGATAAAACATACAGCATCTTTAAAACATATTGTTTAATAAAAATTAATCAAAAATTTAAATATTGGACTAAATTCCTAAGGGAAATATGTGGAATTTTTCCTGGAAACCTTTCAGTACAGAAGTGTGACTGAGAAGGCAGGAAAAGGGAAGGCAGAGCTCCCAGTGACTTTTTAGCTTCTCGATAGACAAAAAGTTAACTGATTTCTTTACTTATTATGCTTTTTATTATCAACCCTTTTAAAATTTCAGATTCCACTTTGACATTGGTCCTTTTGAAAACATGTGGCCTGGAATTTTTGTCTATATGGTTCATCGATCCTGTGGGACATCCTGGTATGAATGACTTAAAAACATCCTTTTTGAAATACTGAGTTATATGACCTTTTCCTCTTCTTACCTACATGCCTCCCCACTTTGTTTATAATCATTTTTAGATATGCATATGTAATTTTTTTCTAAATATTTAAATTAAAAGGGACTGAGGTTGTTGGACACATCTGTATCCTTTCACATTCCCTGTAGAGGCTGCTGGGTCCTCTGGCAATGGGATTGCAGCCTGGTTAAAAACATGCACCTAAGAAGCTTTCATAGAAATGGAAGTTGCAGCCGGGCTTGGTGGCTCAGTCTGTAATCCCACGCCTTTGGGAGGCTGAGGTGAGTGGATTGCCTGAGCCTGCGGGTTAGAGACCTGCCTGGGCAGGCGAGACCTCATCTCTACAATAAAATCAACAAATTAGCCAGGCGTGGTAGCATGCGCCTGTAATTCCGGCTACTCGGAAGGCTGAGGCAGAAGGATCACCTGAGCCCAGCAGGTCGAGGCTGCGGTGGCTGGGAGCTGCCACTGCACTCCAGTCTGGGCGACAGAGTGAGACTCCAACTCAAAAAAAAAAGAAATGGAAGTTGCTGTTACTAGGTAACTGGAAGAGACAGGGATTACTGCTAAATAGAATTACATGCGTAGTATGTTTAGAATACTGCATGTATGTTTAGTATCAGCTTCCAGTTTACATTATATATCTATTGACATAGGCAAACATTAAACGCATCTTCAAATTCAAACAGTGATACTCTGTAAGTAATTACACTATGGTACCACCTCATTGCACATTTTCCCCACCCTATTTGGCCTCTCCCTGAGGCCTTTCATGACTTCACATCTGATCTTTCACAGCTTAAACATACAAACTTAAATGCGAGAAATCATTTTATTTTGTTCTTTTTTTTTTTTTTTTTTTTTACTAATTTAGGTATAAAATGCCTCCTAGTTTCTCTAGGACTAAATGTTTTCTCTCCTTGAAGTCTGTCTTTTCTATCACTGACTTTTTATAAATTGCTCTTTTAAAAGAATGAATACAGGATAACTAACTCCAGTTAATTATTAGAAAGCATTTGAGATTTTGACTAGTTGGAACTTTTAAAATGCCATTCCTTACACTGCAAGCACATTTGAAAATATTCAGTGGAGAAAAACACAGGTTTATATATTTTTCAAAGTTTGAATTCTCAATCTTGTTATTTCAGAGGGCCTCATTTTATATTGATGTGCTTTTGTTTTCAACTGCATTACATCTATTTTGAGAGTTGGTAGGCTTAAATAAGTCTAAATATATGGTAATAATATGAAAATATAAAAATAATGACAATATGTGTAATAAAAATCTTATTATTTCATATACTACATCAGTATTTTATATGGTTATTTCCCACTTAATAATTTGAATGTACAATAATACTTTGGATTTACTTTGAATGGATAATCACTCATCTAGAAAAGTCTCATGATATTCACATTTTCAGTGTGTGACTCTGGATATGCTTTTTGGAAAATTTTAGCTCAAAATATCCTTGAGCTAGATGATGCTTATTGTTGTCTTTTGAACATGGCAGAGGACATGTAGGAATTGCTTGTAAAAAAGATTATGGGGAGAGTGCCAGTGACTACATGCTAAAGCTGGTGTTTTGTTCCTGGTGGGATGGTTGATATCAGATCAGCAACTATAAATGAGTCTCTATTCTCTTAACTTCTCTTCAGCTTGAGAAGTGAAAGGGAAATGGTGAGTTTCCAGTGTTCACAGATTCAGTCATTGTGGAAGTCTTTACAGTTGCGAGTGAGTACCAGTGTATACAAGCTAGAGGACACTCCTAGAGTGTAGTGATTCTCTACTGGTTTTAGTCATAACAGTTTCTTTTCCACGCAGCTTTGAGCTTGAAAAGTTGTGTCGTTTCATTATGTCTGTGAAGAAGAACTATCGGCGGGTTCCTTATCACAACTGGAAGCATGCGGTCACCGTGGCTCACTGCATGTATGCCATACTTCAGAACAATCACACGCTTTTCACAGACCTCGAGGTGGGTGTGCACTTTCCCCCTGATGCACACAACCTCAGGGGATTAAATACTCTGTGTCACAAAGTACCAAATATGACAGATTTGTGATATGTTGTTCCAGGACAAATTTTGGCTCAGTAAATTAATAGAGGCACATTCTTTAGAGTACTGTACCCAAGTTTAAGCATATTCTTTTGTATAAGAAATTTAAGTATAGAAATTTTAACTTCACCAAAATATCATCCAAGGAAATACTGATTTTTGTAGTCTTTCTCCTCTATTAAGGCTTAAGTGTTCCAAAAAGGATATAAACAGAGTGAATTTTTCTCATTTCTGTTATGCTATGGATAATGTAGACTTATCCTGCTGATATGAGAGCTAGAGCATTATTGCAAACAGTTGAGACATAAATGATTTCAATCTCTAACATAAGGAAATAGGATCTGAGATGTTTAACTGATTTATCTGACCATATATACCCAGAGTTTGTGACAGACCCAAAGCTTTCAAAAACCTCAAAATTAGAAGAATTGGAGATGGCGTCATCCATTTCACTCATTGTGGACAAATCGCTTACTCGAAAGCCTGACCAAATGCTTAGTGACTGAAAACTCCTTAGTTACAGATGTTGCCAATTCTGGGTCTGGACATTCCTGACCTGGAAGATGTCTCCTTTCTGACCACATCAGTCCCAGTGGTGCCTACTCACGCCCTGGATGGAGTCCTCCTTTCTCTTCTCCCCTGTAAAGCTGGCATCATTCCTCAGGTGACTTCTGACTGTGCAGAGAAGGGAGCTGTCATCTCTGATAAATAAACTGTGCTTCTCTCAAAAGCACAGTTTATTTAAACTTGAACCCAGCACTCCTGAAGGCTCATCCTACCAGACCAAACTCACAATCTGAGTAGAAAACTTGGAAGATGACTCCAGAAAAAAAAAAAAAGTACACTTTAAAGCAAGAGTAAAAAATGTTCCTGTCTTGTTGTTGTTTTTAAACATAATTTTTAGATCAAGTGGAGTTTAACCTAAATAGTAATTTATGAGTTATTCTCCCTAAAAATGATCTAGATGAAATCTCTTCCTTTTAAATGTTTCTTTAAACAATTTTCTATTCTATTGAATCCCATAGTTTTGAAACTTTCAACATTGCCTTCATTTCTTACTTTAAGAAAACAATTTCATTGTCTTTTTTTTACCATAGGACAGCCTGTGAGTTTAAGAACTATAGAAATTATACTTTCAAGTAACATTACAACTTATATTAAAAGATGGAAAATTTAAAGATAAATGAGGAAAACTTGGTTGATGCATATTGAGTCTCATTTAAGTTTCTAATTTATTTCTGGAATTATATCACTACATTTTCCCCATAACATAGGTCTTTTTGTCTACAAATAATCCCAACATAACATATGCAAATATTAAAAATGTATTTTATAAAAAGGGTATTTAATCTTTGATAAAACTACTAGAAATTATCATTTGGGAAATATTTAATAACGGTAATTTTTGACATTATAAATGATTTTCAGGTGTATGATTCTGCTACACTTTTAACAAAACTATTGAATGTGACATCAATTTAAAAATGTGTTAAAAATGAAAAGATGAAGATAACAGATTTTATCTGTTGTGCAAGATTTTAGAACCCTGACAGTTCTTAGCAGGTATATTATGTTGACATAGCAGCATAAAACATGGGAGTAACCTCAAAACAAATGATACCAGAAACATGATTAATGTGGTTACTTTAATTCCAAGCACATATGATTGGTAACATGAGCCTTCATCTGTTTAGGTGTGCTCGTGCCTGGGGACCCTTCCCTTCCAGTTAGGTTGCAGGAGAAACCAGTTTTGTGTTTTCAGGATAAAGGAGCAGGCATACAGATAAACACATGCTTGTGAGAGCTTCCGCTGACTCCCAGGGCAGCGCCTTGCCTGTCATCCTCTGCCCTGCAGGCTCTGCCTGGCACACTCCTCTTAAGTGAAATCTTGGCACTCCTCTCCAGAGCTTACCCTCCACTCTGTCGTATTCATCGCCTCCCACCACTTGAGGACACTGCTGCCTCGCAGTTCTCCCTCTCCCCTCTGTGAGCCCGCTCTCCCCTCTTATCTGGCCATCTTCATCCTCAGGGAAGCATGTTGCTATCACTCTCACCTTCAGGTATCCTCTTCTCTGCTTTTCTGCTTAGTTTCTCCTCTGTTTCTTGGATCTTCACAGCAACCCCCATGTGAGGGTTACTGACCAGCTCTCATCTCCTCCCATTCTTCTGAAAACAACTCTGGTCAGGCTTCTGTCCTTAACACTCCAGAAAATGCTCTGCTCCAGGTCACTGGTTCCCTGCATCTTATGAGATGTGAGGGTTGTCGCTCAGTGCTCCCCCTTGGGTCTGTGTCTCCACCTGACTCCAGGACACTCAGCGCTTTTCCTGTGAATCTACCAGCTGTTTTGTTTTGGATTTTCCTTGCTGCTTCTTTCTGTTTCCTGAGACTTAGTGTTGGAGTACTTGAGAACTTAGACGATTACCCTCTTCTGTCCTCAAACTAGAGTCTTGGTGAGCTTAGCCAGTTATATGGCCTTAAATGCCACCTGCACACTGACAGTTTCATTTCTCTAGCCGAGGCCTATCCCTAGAACTCTAAACTTAAATATCCAAATCTCCACTCAGATCTTCACTTGGCTATCAATTAGACATCTCATCTTAATCCAAGCCTTACCTCCTGACCCCTCTCCTCCATCCTGCCCCAGCTGAGACTTTCCCATGTCAGTTGATGGCAACCATCACAGTATGTAAGGCCAAACACCTGAGGTCAAACTTGTCCTCTCTTCTCCTTTATTTTCACACTGAGTCGGGAAATCCTGTTGGTTCCGCCTGCAGAATGCATCCAGACTTTAATCACATCATATAAGTTACCTTCTAAGACTGTTTTCTCTCTTACCTTCTAAGACTGTTTTCAATACAGTTGCCAGAATGATCTTTTAAGCATGTAAGTTGGATGATAACAGTGTTCTGCTAAAAGCCCTGTAGCAGGTCCCTCAGTCACTGAGACTATCTATCAGGTCCATAGACCACAGCCTGCCCTACCCTCTGCCCACTGGCCACTGTCCTGACCCCATAACTCTCAGACCCTATTCACCATCAGCGTGTATCCCCATGCTCTCCACCTGGTGTCTCCCGCTCCAGAAACCCGCTGGCCTCCCTCCTCTTCCTCCTTCCTCAGGAAGCCTGCCTGCCTGCTTTATTTAATACTTGACCAGACCACCTCTAATTCCTGTTAGTCTACTTTCCTTTTTCCTTTCTTTCTATATACTTTGCCATCTTTTGCATGCTCTATGATTTACTTTTACATCCACTGTTTGTAATAGCAATAGCATTGTGAGAATTTAATGTTGAATAGATTTTGCTGAAACTGTGACCTTTCCTTGTGCAGATTTGCTTCACCTGTCATTCTTTGGAACATTTACTTTGTGCCTTTAGTTTGATGCCTCCGGCACCTTTTGCCAGAGTTGAAAAGGAAACATGAGAATAATTTGGCTGTGAAATTATTAAGCAGAGAAACAAAGAAGGGGGTTAAAAAGAAGTTAGACGGTCTGGAATTTCAGATTCCTAAGGGTGTTTACTGTATTAGTGGCAGAAATTAATGTGCCATGAATGTCAGGTGTAAGTCTGCTCATATCTGTTTCTTTGTTTTGAATATCTCTGCATTATATTATTTTTGAAGCGCAAAGGACTGCTGATTGCTTGTCTGTGTCATGACCTGGACCACAGGGGCTTTAGTAACAGCTACCTGCAGAAGTTTGACCACCCTCTCGCAGCTCTCTACTCCACGTCTACCATGGAGCAGCACCACTTCTCGCAGACGGTGTCCATCCTCCAGGTGAGAGACCATCCCACGCCCCTGCTTTGTCTGAGGCTTGTTGCGAGTTAGTAAGAGGAAAGCTTCAGGGCTGCCCTTACAAACAGCAGCTACATGCTATGGTGGAGCCTCACAGTCAAATATCACAGTCAAGTAATTTTTTTTTTTGAATAAAGAATTCTTTACAAAGATTTAGAATGTGTGTATTTTGCAATTCCATTTGCTTTCCAGGTATTATATCAATAAGTATGCGATACCCTGAAGCAGCATTTATTTCACATAGCTTAAATCAATTACATATCTTGTCAAATTCTTGAACCACAATGTATTGAACAGCACATCTTAAAAGTTAGGCAAATTTAAAGTTTTGTGTTTTGATTTTTACTTGATTGCTTTTGAGGTGCTCTTGGTGATTGATCTGGACAATTGCAGGTCTTGCCTTAACATGAGGTGGATAGACTCCCTTCCTACCCTTTCCTCAAGCTCAGCTTGACAAGGCAGCTGTTCCATCTTAATGGTTGGGTTCCTATCACAGACCATTTTAAAAATTGTGATCTGTGTTCAGTTTTAGAATAGTAGGTCTTGTCTTTTTCTCTTTGCCAGCACCTTAAGTAGGAAGAACAGTTCTCACTGGAAACTGGTAATGTGTCTCAGGGAGGGTTTTGCGTTTTCAAAGCTGCATAGCAGGACACCAGCAGATGCTCTCCAGGGCCAGGCTGTAGGCATTTGTGAAGCAGGCAAGCATTTGGGGCAGTGTTTCTTTCTTGTGCAATTTCAGTCTCCTCTAAGCCTCCCAGTGCCTCCTCACTTGGACTAATTGTCCAGGTGACTGGTAGTACTCTGTGCTCAGCTCTCCTTAAGACGTGGCAAAACTTACCTGTCCCAGCCCTATTTTCTCAGACCTGAGAAGGTAAATGATCACTTTACTCAGCTGTGGGTGCTGTTCTGACGACATGCTGGATAAAAGTGAGAGGTATTTTAGAGATGGGCTATTTCGTCCACTTCCAAGACCCACCTGGTAGGTAGCTGAATCTGCACTGGCTCATGGGCTTGTTCTGCCCTGAAAGCAATATGTAGTTACTGATCCTAATATTCTCTTGGCACTAATCCTTTCTTTTCTAAATGACGTATGTTTGGATGGATAGATATATACATGTATATATACGAGCACATAGAAATTTAATTAAGATGAAAGCTGTGTGCATATGTATGTATATATGCATGTTTATACATACATGTAAAACATGCTTTTTGTGAATAGATGAACAGTCTGGAGCTTCATGACAGCTTATGTCTACTTTGACCTTGCTCATCATCATTTGAGGATATTTATTTGTACAAGAAGAATAAATGTCAGAAATGACCTCAGGATACCTTTATTTAGAAATGATTAGGACTCACTGACTTAGTATGCCCTATCTTAAATGAAGTGAAACATGTGACTCTAGCAACATTCCTAGCAGTTTAATCACAAATGACTATTAATAGCCTTTGTAAAGTTTCTGTATAAAACCTATCTGAAATATAATGGAATGAGTTGTAAAGTACGTTGTAATTATAAAGTATACTGCCACTGGGCAGAATAAAACACAAGCTGTGTCAACCAGCAGGTGCAGCAAAGTAGGGGGGATTGAGAGGCTCCAGAGACACTCATGCTCTGGCAGGGCTGGTTCCAGCTGTGCCCTGCAGGTGGAGGTGGAGGGCAGTTTGTCTCCATTTCCGAAAGCCCTCAGCAGTGTGCGGACTGCAGATTACATTAACGCGGGCTGGTGAATGGTCAGAACTAGTAACAGGAGCTCAAGCGATGAATTCAGTTCAGACGGGCAAGCTATTGGCAGAGAATAGTTAGATTCCAGGTATTAGGGATGGAATTTCAGTCACTAGTGAGGTAAAGAAGTATAAAGAAAATGTGTTTTCCTGTTTAGAGAAGATAAGGTTTCTTTTTTTTTTTTTTGAGTTGGTGTGTCACTCAGTCGCCCAGACTGGAGTGCAGTGGCCGCTCCCGGCCACCGCAGCCTCGACCTGCTGGACTCCGGCGATCCTTCTGCCTCAGCCTTCCAAGTAGCCAGAATTACAGGCATGCGCTACCATGCCCAGCTGATTTTTTTTGATTTATTGTAGAGATGAGATCTCGCTTCCCAGGCGGGTCTCAAACCCGCGGGCTCAGGCAATACACTCACCTCTGCCTCCCAAAGGCACGGGATTACAGGCTGAGCCACCGAGCCCGGCTGAAGATAAGGTTTCTAAATACATTACAAGAACAGGAAACTGGAAAGAAGAACTGAGCGTTGCTGCAACTTTAGATGAAAAGTACCCCCAGTTTAAGAATGAATTCATATACTGGACTGACCAAAATCCTTCTATGTGAGCCATGGCAAGGGCCCGTAAATAGATGACCTGACCCACATGGGCAGGAATATTCTGGGAAGAGTCCCTTCCCTTCCTTCTCTGAAAGTGTCTGTACTCTGGCTAATTTGGCCTTTGTGTCCATGATGCCTCTCAGAGTGTTTTTTCTCAGATTACTCTAACTGCCCCTTGAAATTCAGTCCGGTAACAGACACTTGTTGAGCACTTTCTGTTTGTCTTGTCTCAGGCACTGGGGATAGTGATAAACTAGCACAAATCCCTTCCCCTGGAGCTCAGTCTAAGGCCTGTGTCCCCAGAGTTCTGCCCAGAGCTGTTCCTACTGACCCGCCTGGCTCACCTGTGGTTCTAACTGGCATGGATGCACTGAGGGTTCACTGACCTGTGTGATTCAGCCGAGTGCTCCATATGGCTTCTATTTCACTTGCACTCAGCATTTAATATGGCCGACATTGTGCTTATTGGATATCCTCAGCTGCCTTCTCTATCTGCTGTCTTCTGTAGTGGCAACCTCATTCGTCCATACATGCAGGTTGCTAACCTTAGAGTCATCATTTTTCATTTCTGTAGTCTTATTCTATCCCCCTTCCAGTCTCCAAGTACTGCCCCTATTATGTTTTTTCAAAAGAAACCTCCAGACTTGACCAATTAAGGTGATATCCTTGGGTAACAATAAAAATTCCAACTTCTAGTGACTAAGGCGAGATAGAACTGTGTCTAATATGACTACTGCTGATATCGATGTTTATCCAGGAAAGACTTTTCCCATTGTTCTCCTGACCCATGTTCCTTATATCCACTGCTACCCAGCTGACCATGGGTCTGACATGTTTGTCCTCTGGCAACACAGCAGATGAAAGATGAGCAAGTCAGTCTGTAGTGGTTGGAAAGAGTTTCCCATCAGGCCTTCTCACAGCTGCATGTGTGTGTGTGTGTGTGTGTGTGTGTGTGTGTGTGTGTGTGTGTGTGTGTGTGTGTGTGTGTGTGTGTGTGTATACGTCACAGTTAGGTTAGCTGCGCCCCAGCCCTCAGCATGCTTGCCAGTGCTACCTACTGGTAATCTGGGAAGTCGAGAGAGCACTGTAGATGAACACAGTGACAGTAACAAGCAACGGGAATAGAAGACAGATTTTAAAAACCGACCTTCAGTCACACACACACACACACACACACACACACACACACACACACCCCAAATCATGGTACAGAGAAGCAGGAAGTGTATATTCGCTCACAGCTTACTTTGGCCTTGGTCACAGTGAGAAGGCTGCAGTGAACAGGCTCTTGTAGAGTGGGCATTGGGAAGAGGCTAAGACCTAGATGAAGTCAGGAAAAGTCTAAGAGCCTCTATAGAAAAGACAACTCTACACTCCCATCTTTTCTGAGCTTCCCGGTATTTTTCAATGCTGGGCACTGGCTTCCTGGTGACTGGGCCCCTCTCTGTATATAGATCCTGATGGACACTGAGCAGAGCAAAGAGGAGGCTCCTACTTGGGCTCCATGGTGTATGGACCTGGCCCCTGTGGCCACTGCTGTCTCATAAGTGTTAAGCACCACCCCTATTGACGCCCCACTTCCAGCCTTCATTGTGTTCTGCCTCTTTTACAGCCTTTCTCCCTCATCTATCACTGTTCCTCCAAGTGTGCATCTGTCAAATCCATCCTCCAGATACATGCCTGAACACGTCATTCTCCTGTTTAAAGTCTTCTGTGGCTCTCCACAACCTCAGGAATAGCTTCCCAGTTTCTCAGTGGTTACCCAGGTTTTTTATGCCTGACCCTTTCTGTTGAGGACTATGGTGTCTATGGTCCTCCTATAGTTCCAGGCTGCTTCTGAACTCTGTGCCACTGTCTAGAGTCCCTATGCATGTAAGTTCCCCACCCCCTTTCAGTGGATGGCTCCTCCTTGTCTTTTAAGCTCAGCTCAGGTGCACCTCCTCCACCAGGATTATCTGATGGCATTCCCCACATAGCCAGGCACAGCATTGTGCCCTGTTACCTGGCCCTGAGCACCTCAAGCATCCATATATCTTAGTGGGGTTTTTACGTCGTATTGAAATTTTCTGGTTTTGGAGCTTAACTTTCCAACTCTTCTTAGTGATGAGCTGATGAAGAGTAGGTGCCCCTTACTCACTCCTGGACCCGCAGGCTCACCTCAGGTGGGGATGTGCTGATAAAACGTGGTTAGGAGATGAAGTGGGGTGGGCAGAAACATGTGGGCAAAGCTTAGGGACCAGAAGCAGAATTTTATTTGGGAGAATTTTATTGGGAGAAAGGAGTGGATATGCCACCTTGGGGCAGAAGACTTAGGTGACTGAGTTGTGGAAGGAAGGTGGAATGCCTCCAGGGAAGGACACTATTTTGTGGACAGGGACATCCAAGAAAGTAGGTAAACTTTGCTTTTTTGCCTAAAGCTTACTGACTTATACTTAGAAATTGTGATGTCACCATTATTGGAATATTGGAATATTTAATCAATGTATCATTTTTCCTAATGAGATATTAATGGTAATTCTGAATATTGAAACTATCCCTTTTATATTTTCTGCCTTCTGTGAATACCCTCATGTTAAATATTCAAAAGTCAAAATTTTAGAAACAAACAACTGGGAATGATAATTTTCATTATTAAGAAAAATCTCTTAATATTCCATCAATCTTAAATTATCAGGTGCTTTTGAAATATAATCATATTTCAGAAAGTTATCTTTTTGTACTTAACATTTTGGGATCCCATGACCTTCATTACTTTTTATAGAAGTAATTTTTTTGTGACTCAGTTAAAGAGTTCATCCAGTTGATCTGCACTAAGTAGAAATTTACTATTGTTTATTAAAATTATAGCAAAATTGCACTTACATTCAACACTATCTTTATTAATAATCTAAAATGTGACATGGTGGCTAGCTTAAATCTGTTTTTCGCTATAAATATATTCTGAATAGATATGGTATTTAGCCATCAAATTTAATTCTGGTCATATATGTTTGTTTTCCCATCTTTACCTTAATTCTGACTGCAGAAGTTATACTAGTAGATTTTATCATCATTATCACCATCATAATTGTAATAATTTTATCACATATTGGATACTTAGAGTGAACCAGAAACTTTAATATTTGGCACACATTAATATATTTAACTTATAGACCTATGAGATAGGTATTATTATTCATTTTTATTTTACAAATGAGAGCAATATTCATCTAATAGGTTAGGTAATTTGTCCATTTGTCACACAGCTAAGTGGTAAAATGAGATTAAAATCTAGAATTGTTTGACTCCAAAATCTGTGCTCTTGATTACAATGCTATAATGCTTCCTAGTGTATGGTTTGATGTACTAGGAGATTAAATTTCAAAATAAATATTATAAATCTTTTAAAGGCATTGTTATCAAGAATGATTGGTGCAGTGAGTTGCATCATTGACTTTTTTTTAAATCCCAAAGCCCCTGAATGAGTCAGCCCACACCTGTGGCTTTAGTAGTGCTGTATGGCCCAGGGGCAGGACCACTGGAGATGAAGGCTTGACTGCCAGGCTTGCGGGATAGAAATGTGAGCCTTGGGGCCCTTCCATGACAATATCCTTTATGGAGCTAAGCATAATAGGGGTTTTGAGGGGATCATTTATGATTAATAATAATAGTTTTAAAACTGTCTGAGGAAAAATTGATTGATTTGTCTTCCTGCCTTGGTTCTCACCTATCTCCATTCCACATGGTTGCCAGAGCGATCAATCTAAACCATAAACTTCATCCTATAATAAGACCTTCAAAAAAAAAAAACTCGACTTTAATACTCACCATTTGTCTATTCAGTTTGCTTAGTTATATGGACACTTTTGTAGTTCCCACCAAATATCACAATTTCTGTGGTCTCAGCTGCTCCATGTCACGTGCTGCTCCTTCTACATGGGTTACTTCACCTACTTCTTCAGAATTCATGTCCTCACCTAGGAAAAGTCTCCTGTATAAATGAAGGACTTCTTCCATAGTGTTTTGTTTAATTATGGAAGGCATCCCATACTGTTTCATATGTGCTTATGTGCTCTTATGTCTTCCACTAAACTGTGAACCGAAAAAATGAACTTGTTTAGGACCTTGGATATAGTAGTCACCAAACTATTAATGCTCTTACACAAAGTAGAGCACTGCAGACCAAATGTCTGCCAAATAAATGGAGACATATGGTATGTTCTTCATTGTGATGGGTGAGACAGCTGTGGCAAGAAAGCAGTTGTTCCCTAATGCTCCAGCAGTGGACAGAATGCCAAGAGCCCTTTGAATCTTCATAACTAAGGACTGGAATGGGTCTTGAAGATCATCCATTTAAGAGAGTCATTGTTCAGAATCAGCATTTCAGCATTGCTTACATTCTCTAATATCAGATCTCAGCTTGAGCATTTACAAACAGCCCACGCCTGTACTTTTACGGAGATAAGATTTACATGTCGTTTATCCATTTTAGGGTTTTAGAAACATTCCTGGTATAAAACGTTCATTATTTCCTGCTTGACTTATACACAGTGGAATCAACTAGTTTGCATTATGACCATCAAGCATAAACATGTATCAGCTGAGATTTCCTTCATGTGAACTGCTGATAGCAGATATGTGTCTGAGTACCAACCAAACACGCTCTAATTTGAAACATGCTTTTGGAGTGGGAAGCAAAGGTTCCAAGGCATTATATGTTGAGGCAGAGGCCAACTGCTTCACTTGAGTATGGGTCAAATCAGAGGAAACAGATGACATAGCACAAATCAGAGTAAAGAATTCCTTCTTATAACCTTCTAGAACACAGTTGTAGAGTTGAGGTTGGAAGGTGACCTAGTTCAGCCCCCTATCCAATGCTTGAGTCTCTTCATTTTGTTCCCACCAGTTAGTAATCAAACTGTTCGGGACTGTCTCAACCCACAGTGTCTCATACACATTTCTCACGGGTGTTCTCAACAGCTAGTTGCTTCTTGTGTTAACCTGAAGTCCATCATTTGGCCCTTTGTGTTCATAAGATAGGCTTCAGATGAGATTGCATTGCTAAAAATTGCAAAAAATGACCAGCTTGTGTGAGTACTGCTGTTTCTCTTTAGTTGAAGACAAATCTTATTAATGTTTCAGCAAATACTTCATTTCAGATAGATAGCAAAGGCTTATATACATTTTATAATTTGAAAGTGAAACCATGTGTTTGAAAGTGTTTTGTAAACTCTAGAGCCTTTTACACAGGAAAAGCCTTATTATTGTCAGTAAAATATTGTTATTATTGTCAGTAAAATAACCAACTAAAACCGAGTCCACTTGCTGCTCGTATCATAGGGTAATTTGAATATTTATTGTGCCTTAAGAACAAATGAGATAGAAATATTCATTTCAGATGAACAGAAACAAGTGGTAAATCTGGCTTTATTTCAGAAAATGAAGCAGTGTCTTCATGAGATGTCTACTATTGTAAAGAAATATACTTTAATAACTAAGTGTTTAATATAACAGTAAATATAGATTAAGAAAAGTGAAATCAATTAAAATCAAATTATAGTAGTATTATATTAACTAACACTGAAATTATTAGAACATAATGGATGAACCCACAAATAGTATGTATTATGATCTAAAACTTTTATTTTTAGCAAAAGCTTTTTTATCTCAGTTACAAATAAAAATCTTAAAATTCTCAGAGGAAAAAATTATTTATAAAAAGTGTTTTTAAAGATTCATATACAGAAGGCTATTCTGAGGTAAAATCCAAGTGACCAATGTTTTGGTCTTGGTAAGGGTGACAATCTGCCATTTACTATCTCCCTTGAAAATGAAGATGACCCTGTGGTTGTTGTACCTTCAGTGACTTGTGTTATGTAAAGATACTCTTGCCTGTGAAGAGAGATTTCAGTGTTTTTAAATAAACATTATATTGAAGTTGTGGGACATTTTCTTGTAAGATACAGAAAAGTATATTGTTATTCGCTAGTCTTGCTTCAATATAACACAACCTGAAGTGAATAAGGATATAGATGCCTTTTTATGCCTATTAAATTCTAGTATAATATAAAAATTACTAAAGTTTTAACTTAGCTTAAGAGGAAAATGTATTTTACTTAAAATTGTATATTTTCTTTAGTACTTTAACTGTTAGAAATATCCAAGAACTAGGTATATTAAATTCCTTAGATTTTGTGGTAGTAAATGATGTTAGTAGTTGAAATAATTCATTTAAATGATAGCTTTACTGTTGTTGTAGCTTAATTAAAGGGAATCCAAAATGCTGCTTTCAGTCATTTTATTCTTTTGTTTCCCCGTGCCTGTCATTATTGGGGCAAATGGCATTGACTGACTTTATTATTTCAAATAACTGAAAATGTTATAAGATTAGAGCTTGTGCTTGTTATTGGTGGTTTTTATTTGTATTTTTTCCATAGTTGGAAGGGCACAATATCTTCTCCACTCTGAGCTCCAGTGAATATGAGCAGGTGCTTGAGATCATCCGCAAAGCCATCATTGCCACAGACCTTGCTTTATACTTTGGAAACAGGAAACAGTTGGAAGAGATGTACCAGACCGGATCGCTAAACCTTAATAATCAATCGCATAGGTAAAGATAATTTTAAAAAGCTTAGAAGCCCAGGAAGTGTTACCAGGAATTAATTGATATTTTTAAAAATAAATGTAATTTGGCATAAATTTTTATTTGAAAGAAATGTTAAAAAATTTGTACTTTTTTACTTTATGTGCATTTTGTTTATATTTACTTAAGACATTTCATTGACAAAATTGCTTACAGTTTATTGTGAGGATAATTAAAATACAAATTGTAAGTTAAACTAATCACTCAGGGATTGATACTTTTAAAGGGAAAGGCTATCAAATTATTTCTTTAAGAGGTTACTTTCATTTATCACAGCCTAGAGTTTGATCTTTGGCCTCAGAAACTCAAAAGCAAATGAAGATGGATTCATTTTTCGGAATCCAAATCCTGTTAACAAAGCTAATATGTTTGGTGTGAAACTGGTTCAGTTTTATTGATTTGCAAACGTATAATGCAGTCACAAGGATTAGTAAATTGACATTCTGTGGGGTCAGAATCATCCAGGAAGCCAAGTAGCCATCAAAGGTTTATTTCCAAGCATAGAATTCGAACAAGGAAGATTCTCTCAAGTGAATGTTCTAATGGTGTCAGGCTAAATGAGTGTGATGCCTTTTTTTTTTTGAGGAGCAGTTTCTTGCCTAGTGGACTCAGAAATATGTCAGGTATGTTCACTATGAACCTGCCCACCCATCTAAGTTCATTGGCTGACTTTGATTTCCTCGGCTAGTCCGTAAATGGTACCAGCAGCGTTCATTGCTATAGCTCTCCTGTTACTGTTTCCATGTCTGACCAACTTCATCTCACATGAAGCCCTCTTTATCTTTCCACTTGTGAACATTTACTTAGCATTTCTGTGCCAGTCTTGCTGTTGTTTGGATTTGTTCTCTTCGTTTAGGTGCTTTGCACATCTCTATTATGATTTATTAAGTACTGATCTTAACATTTCTTTCTGAGGAACAGACTTTGTTTCTAAGTTCTTAGAAGCAATTCACTCAGGTACCCCAAACACAAAATATTAGTTTTACAAATGAATATAGATATCTAATAAAGCTTATCTCGTCAAGAATAAATATCATTTGTATAATGATACCGATGCCTCTGATTAAGCAGCATTTGTTTGTAATTCAACTTGCCTTCAAACAGGGGCAGATCCCAGATTTTATAGAGCTTGAAACTTTACAGTTTGGGGAAGCTTATTTGAGAAAAACAAAACAAAGATATCACATCTTCGCACATGGCAGGCAGTCTGAACACATTACTGGAGCCCCTCCTGATCCATGCAGGTGCTGGAGGCAGTGAAGGTCCATGAAGGTCTATGAAGGTATGCCAGCATGTGCTCCTCTACTCCCCACCCAGGTGAGAAGAGCAGTCTCCTGGGTCTGCATCTTGATGTCTCCAGCAGTTTGTGTTTGGTCCTTGCTCTGAGACCTATGGAAACGGGTGTTTGTTCACAGTTCTCTTTTGTTTTGGTAGTTAGCAGATCAGGGACATATAGTCTTCATGAAGTAAGCTTTAGTTTCCTGAAACCCATGTGCTTCTTTTAAAGATAAGATTTAAAAATAAGAATCATGTCACTAGTACCAACTTCCTTGAATATGTTCTTTTTAGCAGAATGATTACAATAATTATTGTTATAAAATAGAAAATGTATACATCTAACTTGCAAATAATATCATTTTTTGTACTTAATGAATGCATATGTGCTAGTGGTATATTCTGTACAATTATGCATGTTTAACTCTTTGATACATAACATTTTTTAAGGTAAAGCATGTTTGCTTTAACAATTCAAGTGCACAGAGGTGTGAAGAGGAAAGAATAATCCTCTGTTCTTTGGTACTCCATGACCAACTATCTACTCCATGCAATGTCATCTCATGCATTTTTCTGTTTTTTCAAGTGTGTGTTTGTGTGTGTGTATACGTATGTACACGTATGTACATAGTACATGTAGGCATACCTCAGAGATATTTTGGGTTTGATTCCAGACCATCACAATAAAGGATATATTGCAATAAAGTGAGTCTCACACATTTTTTTTTTTTGGTTTTCTGCATATAAAAGTTGTTTATCTAATATTGTATCTAATATTATAGTCTATTAAGTGTGCAATAGCAGTATGTCTAAAAAATGCACATACTTTAATTTTAAAATACTATTAAAAATGCTAACAATCATCTGAGCCTTCAGCAAGTTCTAATCTTTTTGCAGGTGGAGGGTCTTGCCTAGAAGACAATGTGACAATGTGACAATTTCTTTTCTTTCTGTCTGTATTTAGAGATGGAGTCTTGCTCTGTCCCCCAAGCCTGAGTGCAGTGGCACAATCATAGCTTACTGCAGCCTCACACTCCTAGGCTCAAGTGATCCTCCAGCCTCAACCCCTTGAGTAACTGGGACTATAGGCATGCACCACCACACCTGACTAATTTTTAATTTTTTTTATTTTTTAGAGGCGAGGTCTAGCCGTGTTGCCCAGGATTGTCTCAAACTCCTGGCTCAAGCAATTTTCCTGCCTCAGCCTCCTGAGTGGTAGGAATTACAGATGCAATCCACCACACCCAGTCTGGATGTCACAAGTTCTTATAATAAAACAATAGTGAAGTTTGTCCAATCGATTGATTCTTTCTTTCATGAAAGATTTCTCTATAGCTTGTTTATTTGTTTATTTACTTATTTATTTCTCTATAGCTCTTTGGTAGTATTTACCCACAGTAGAACCTCTCTCAACACTGGAGCCAGTTCTCTCAAATCCTGCTTCTGCTTTGTCTACTAAATTTATGTCATATTCTAAATCCTTTGCTGTCATTTCAACAGTGTTCATAGTATCTTCACCAGGAGTAGATTGCATCTCAAGAAACCACTTTCTCTGCTCTTCCATAAGAAGAAACTCGTGATCCGTTCAAGTTTTATCATGTAATTGCAGCAACTTGGTCACGTCTTCAGGCTCTACTTCTAATTCTAGTTCTCTTGCAGTTTCCAGCATATCAGCAGTTACTTTCTCTGATGAAGTCTTAGCCTCCTTAAGGTCATTCATGAGGGTTGGAAGCAAACTCCTGTTAATGTTGATATTTTGATGACTTCTTATGACACACAAATGTTCTCAATGGCATCTAGAGTAGTGAATCCTTTCTAGAAGGTTTTCACTAACTTTGCTCAGATTCATCAGAGAAATCTCTATTTATGGCACAATAGCCTTATGATATGTATTATTGTTTAATAAGACTTGAATGTCAGAATGACTCCTTGCTCCCTGGGCTGCAGGATGGATGTTGTGTTAGCAGGCATGGAAACAACATCAATCTCCTTGTGCATCTCCATCAGAGAGCCCTTGAGTGACTAGTTGCATTATCAGTGAGTAGTAATATTTTGAAAGAACTTTCTTTCCTCTGAACAGTAGGTCTCTACAGTGGTCTTAAGATATGCATTAAACCATGCTGGAAACAAATGTGCTATCATGAGGTTTTGGTTCCATTTCTAGAATACAAGTAGAGTGGATTTAGCATAATTCTTAAGGACTCTAGGATTTTTGAAATGATAAATGAACATTGGTTCACCTTAAAGTCACTAGCTGCATTAGTCCCTAACAAGAAAGTCAGCCTGTCCATTGAAGCTTTGCATGGACATTTCCTCTCTAGATCTGAATGTCCTAGATGGCACCTGCTTCCTGTTGCTGATTGTGTTATCTACATTGAAAATCTGTTGTTAGTGCAGCCTGCATCTAGTATCTTAGCCGGATTTTCTGGTTAACTTGCTATATCTTCTGCATTAGCACTTGCTGCTTTCCTTTGCACTCTTGTGCAATGGAGATAGCTTCTTTTCTCAAACCCCATGAATCCACATCTGCTACCCTCAAACTTCTCTTCTGTAGCTTCCTCAAATTTTTCAACCTTCATAGAATTGAAGAGAGTCAGGGTGTTGCTCTGGATTAGGTTTTGGCTTTAAGGAATATTATGACTTGTTTGATCTTCTATATAGACTACTAAAGTTTTCTTCACAAGGCTGTTTTTCCTTTTTATTGATCATGTGTTCATGTGTTCACTAGAGTAGCACTGTTAACTTTCTTGAAAAACTTTTCCTTTGCACCTACAACTTGACTAATTGTTGGGCACAAGAGGCCTAGCTTCTGGCCTATCTCAACTTTGGACATGCCTTCCTCACAGTGGAGCAGTCAGAACACAAACAACATTCATCATTCAAACTCATTGACTTATATGGGTACAATTGATGGCACCCCCAAACCATTACAGTGGTAATGCCAAAGACCACTGATTATAGGTCACCATACAGATACAATAACAATGAAAAAAATTGAAATATTTTGAGAATTACTAAATGCGACACAGAGACATATGGTGGAAAAATGATAGTGATAAACTTGCTGGGTATAGGGTTGCCATAAAGCTTCAATTTGTAAAAAACAGTAGTTGTGAAGTGCATCAAAGCAAAGTACAATTAAAACAAGTAGTACCTGGAGCATATATCATTCAAAATTTATATACATATTCAATTTTCCAAAAAGATTGTAAAATTCACGCTCCTTCTAATATGAGTCAAACCGTTTCTCACTAAATATGCCCTTCTCTGACTACTCACTATATTGACAATCTTTTCATGTTTATTTACTACTTATTTTCCTACTTTTGTGTTTTTGCCCATTCAAAACTTTGGCTTTACTTTTTTTAAAAAAATTACTCAAGCCGGGCTTGGTGGCTCAGCCTGTAATCCCGCACTTTGGGAGGCTGAGGTGAGTGGATTGCCTGAGCCCGTGAGTTCAAGACCCGCCTGGGCAAATTGGTGAGACCTCATCTCTACAATAAATCAAAAAATCAGCCGGGTGTGGTAGCACATGCCTGTAATTCTGACTACTTGGAAGGCTGAAGCAGAAGGATCGCCGGAGTACAGCAAGTCGAGGCTGCAGTGGCTGGGAGCAGCCACTGCACTCCAGTCTGGGCGACAGAGTGAGACGCCAACTCAAAAAAAAAAAAAAAATTATTCAAATTTTCTTT